TCTCTCTCTCTCTCTCTCTCTCTCTCTCTCTCTCTCTCTCTCTCTGTTTTTATTAAAGTATATTCTATATTGAGAACCTTTCCAGCTGAAATGCTGGTACAGGTAGTCCTCAACTTACAATCACAATTGGGATCTGTCTCACTTAGTAAAATATTCATGAAGTAAGTGGTACTCAATTTTTCAACTATTGTAATTACATAAAATCATGATTGTTAATTGAATCTGGATTTTCCATCATGTCTATCATGTTTCGAGTCATGTCAATCTCCACTTCCTTTGCCATCATGTACCATTCATGCAACAGGTTTGGAGCCCCACAGGCCAGGCAGGCAGCGTATAAGTCATCATTTAGTCCATCTTTGAACCAACAGACTAGGATATCCTCTGGCCAATCTACCCGGCCAGCCAGGTCACGAAATTCCTCGGTGTATTCTGCTACCAGGGCATACCTAGTTTCCCCCCCCCTGCCCCCTTTTTAGAACAAACTATTCAAGAGATTTCCAAGACACATCCCACTGTGGAATTTTTATGATCTTCTCATTTTCTGGTTGTGCCTCTCAGAGGTGATAGTTCCGGCCATCTGGCTTTTCTCCCTCCATTGAATCATGTGTGGGTTATACAAATTCGATATAAGATTAAATATATTCAGGTTACATTAAGAAAGGATTTCTTTATCAGCCTCCCCCTCCTTTTCTTCTTCCACTGAAGAAATGACAGATACACGGATCTGACATCACCTCTCTTTTTTTATTATTAATTGTATATGCAACATGTTGTCCAGAGTCATATTGTTTGAGTTGGGAGGTCTTACGTATCTTGAAAATAAATAAATAAATAAATAATTTTAAACATATGGTCTTAGTTTAATATCTTTTTAGAGTATACAGTTTTGCTTGTTAATATTAGCTTGCTCTTTTGTTCTTTCTATTGAATAGAATGTTGGAAAGAAATTTCATAAATTGGACCAACTTTCTCTCCATCAACAGGATTTTTTTTTTTTTTTAAAAAGTAGACAGATTGGAACTAAAATTTCTTTGGGGAGAAAGTAACAAAAAGAAAAAAGATGCAGTTTGGATATGGTCTGTATTCATCTGGGAGCTATGAGGGAAAAACAATGGAAAGGAAAATCAACCTCCATCAATTCATTCCTGTGAGAAAGAGTTGGTCAATGGAAAGATATCAATTCTTCCATACTTACCCTCTTTTCTATTCCATTCTGGTCACTTGACCCAGAAGACAAGGATTTTTAAAAGATGGGGGTGGGGGTTCAGGAAACTATGTATACAACCTTTACCTGATTTTATAGAATGTGTCTGTATTAGTGTGATGTTTTAGAGAACAAAGCAGTTTTATCTTATTTCCTCCAACTTTTTAAATATTTTTTCCCTTTTTGACAAGGAAGGCAGTGCTGGAGATCAATTAAACCATTTAGATTTTTTTTTTTAGAATTGCATTGATCTGTAGCTAATTTGAAGTAATTGTGCAGTTTACCAGGAGCTAAACCAAACTTGATGACACCCAATTAACTAAATGATTTGTAACTATAGCAGACAAAAGTTATTGGTAGTGCATAGCATTCTGGGCAAAGCAGTTAAGGCCATATCATGAATAGTTGCTTATATAACTTTCAAACAACAGAGAAATGTATTCTACATTTCCTTTCTCTGAGCATACTCAAAATTCAATGGGTCTTTCAGGAAATAGCAGGTTCCTCTAAACTGATAGCTCTGGAATAATATTTACTGAAAATCTGGCAGTTATGAATGAGTTAGGAAATGAAAGCATACCAAAACAGACAAGTAACTAAAACAAAACAGGAACAGAACAAAAACTTATCTAGAAATGCATTTCCAAAGTTGTTATACCCAAACAGAATCAGATGTCAATTTTTATTAAAATAAATGTTTATTTAGTCCTTAAACTTGGAAAAAGTTGGCCTCCTTACTTTATAATAATATGTAGTCTGAACCTGTGTGCTTTAAGGCCTATGTAACTTGGTTTCATTGGTGTGATCCATGCTATGGCTCTTGCAACAGAGGAATGCTGCTTGCAATATGGTAAATCAGAGGTAGAGAACTGTTGGTTTTCTAAATATTGCTGAAGTACAGCATCTCTCTCTTTTCACTGGCTGGGGCTGATATATATATAGCTGTCGCTCACTTATTCATCCATATTTTTTTAATTGTTTCTCTGCCTGCTCATTTTTATTCTATAATATCCTGTATTTTTCTGTCAATATCCTAGCTGGGACAATGCCATCTTTTTGCCCTTTTTTACCCTGTCTCTGCAGATGCTTCTGACTAGAGATGAATTTTACTGCAGATTGTACAAATAACTCTTAAACCAATGGTGGTTTGATCTTATTGCCCCTTTCTCTCGTCCTTTCTATGTATTAATAAGATATTGGCATGGTACTTAGTGATTCTGAAATATATCTATGTAATTGGCATCCCTGGTGTGAAAATGTTTGCCTCCTTCTTCAATCTTTACAAATCCAGTTAGGAATCATTAAATTAGTTATAACAGCAGAATCTGATCGGGATCTCTGATCCTATAGCTTTAATTGCTACATTTGGAGGTTTTGTTCAAAATGATGCTAATTCTGTAGATCTTTAATGGTATTTATATCATTAGTAAACATTTATGATGGACTAAAAAGAACAAGAGTTACTAAATCCAATCCCCTACCTAGATCAGGAATCCTCAGAGCATCCTAGACAAATGGTTACCCAACTTTGTGTACAAAAACTTCCAGTAATGCAAGCACCAACAGCTCCAGAAAACAGGCTACTCTACTGCTTCATAACTGTCATCATGAAATTTCTCCTTATTTTCTCTGTTGATTTTTCTTTGTAAAACTTCTACCCACTAGTTTTTGTCTTACCCTCAGATGAATTCTGGCCTTTGCAGCATCTCCTTAGTCATGTGATTGTGAGTTGGGAGCTAAGTACATGACTCACAATTATGATATTTTACTATCCTGTAATCACAGGATAACCATCTGTGACTTTTCTGACAGCTGACAAGCAGAGTCAGTGGAGAAGTCAGACTCAAATGCCATTGTCAACAGAAGACTACCTGTAAATCCAAATTAAATAGGATGCAAATTTAAATAGGATGCAAATTGTCTTCCCTATGGAACTATACATTTCAGTATTGGGATAGTGCTGTTATATCTCTCCTTAGCTTTGTTTCCATGCTAAACATAGTGTGGGAAATGGTTCTTTTAACTATTTTTCATAGAAGTCTGGGTCCAAGCCTTTCATCATTTTGGCTGTTTCTTATCCTTTCTAAATCCTCAGCATCCTTCTTGTACTGGACTCAGTATTCCAGGTACCCCACAGGGTAGTACAGAATTATCAATCAATTTTGTGATCTCAACTTTGTATCTTGATTAATGCTGGACTGACTACTTTTTGCAGTTATAGCACAATGCTCAATCTATGGTTTATCTGTTCAGCCCAATCCTGTACACACATACTACAACAATTTGAACTAAGTTTGATAAACCAAGTGCTTAGCCTTTAATAGTTATGAAATTATACATTCTTATTTTTGTTCATTTTCTGGTGTGCCTTATGATAACCCTTGCTGGCAATAGTCCAGTCAAACCACACTTGGCATTAGTTAAGTTATAAGTTCTTGTATTTTTTGGATCTTTTTAAATAGGATGCACAATTCTGACAGCCAAGATTGAAAAAATTGCCATTTGGAGTAAATCTTTCCAAGATTAGTGTATCTAACATGTCTTTTCCAACTAATTAGGAATCTCCTTATCATAGAGCAATCCTTTTTCATTCCTTCTTATTTCACCTTTTGAGCAATTTGGGATATATGTTTACATTTCAGATTCTAATAAGAGGGTGAAGAGGACATTTTGTACTTTAGAGCAGCGATTCCCTATCTGAGAATAATTTCCACTTACACCAGGTGTGTCAAACTCCCGGCCCATGGGCCAT